CTGGGGGAAAAGTCAGTTGTTGACTTCCATAAAAATGGGGCTGATTTGAACACTCAATAGCGAGTTCATTTGTTCCCACGCTGCTTACAAACCAAAGGGAAAAAAAAATTATCCCAAATGGAGATACAAAATGGCTCAAGTTGTGCCTCACTAAATTTGAGTTGTCTATTCACCCTTTTCTGAAAAATAGGGATGTGAACTTCATGTGCTTTGCTATTCCAAGAGTTCCTTGCAGACAAGGCTGGAATTAGGCTCTGGGTTGCAATTTCAGATGTGCCAGGAGTTATTTAAATGCAGCTCAGAAATGCTTATATGTGTGTGCGTGTGTGTCTCTCTCTTGTTGCAGAAATATCTTCAAATTCAAGAAGAGCAGTGAAGAAAAGAGCAAGAAGATGGACAAAGAAGAGAAGTTCTTCAGAGAGACATTTATGGTGCGTGTGTTTCTGTCTGTGTCAGGGGAGGAAAGCAGCTCTGTGGCTTGTTTAAAAGACTCATTGTTGGCCCTCAGCTGTGCTGGGAAAGTTTTCCCTTGACCTGTTGCCTTCTCACCTAATCTGGGGTTTCCAGAGGAGAAAGGCAGCTCTGTGGTTGGCTTAAAAGACACCTGGTGGAACCTTCTTGGTCCTCAGCTGATGCCTTAGGATTTAGCTTTTATATTTTTCAAATCCTGTACTGCACTACTGTAAAACACTAAACTCCATATAAAGCATCAGTTAGCTGTCTTCTCATTTTGGTCAGACAAAACAATCTCTCTAGGCCTGATATTCAAGAACACCTTGCTGCCTCAGGCCTGAAAAAGTATAGACCAAAGTGAACTGAGGGGGAGCAAACTGGTGCTGAGTTATCTCCTCACACGGGGCACCAATTTGTTGGCTTAAGCCCTTTTCTGACCAGAGATGGGGCAGCTGAGAGGCGTTTTACAAACTTTTATTCCATTTTCAGTCTCATGAGAAGGGTGAGACAATACAGGTGTTATAATTCACGCCATCACAATCAGAAGCCAACTATTTCCTAATGCCAATACACCCTAAGTGTTTCTTGGCCTATCAGCTTTAGCCACACCATGCTGTAAATGCCTTAAAGCCAATAATCTAAAATTACCCCTCACGGGTCTTACTACAATGCATCTTTCATGGTTCTATTTCTCCAAAGTATCTAGTGTTATTTGCAAGGCCACCCTTTGAAACTTGTTTCTAGTTCCATTTCTCTCTCAGCAATGTCTGTCCTACTCCACGGCATTTCTAAGTCAGCATTTCTTATCTCAAGGTTTGCACAAAGGCGCACACTGCGTGAGCCTTCTGCCAGGCTTCGAGAATTCTCTACAAATCCATTTCCCACAACTACCTGAAGCTGTAATTGGAGGATGAACTGATACGTAAATGGACCAAACTTATAATTGTCTGAAAAACTCATGACCACCATGTGTCTTGGGTGTAGCCTCTGGAAGGCTGTGAGTGCCCAATATTGAAGGCCTTCAGTGAATACCCACTTTAATTCTCTTAAATTTGTCTAACCTCTGTTTTAGGTAGCCACTTCAAGGCATCAATCCCACTCCCCTAACTGAATCTTCATCAGAGGCGTTGCTGTGATTTTTCTCCCCCTTCCCCCCAAAGCCTCGCAACCCCCTCCTGAAATCCCCTTCCCTCCCTCCCCCGTGCCCCCACAAGTCTGCACGCACAGATACAGAATAACTCCCTGAATTGCTGCCTGTCCCTCAGTACCGCAAGGAGATCCGCGTGCTCGCCAGGGCCAGCGCCGCGCGCTCGGTGCGCAGCCAGCGCCGCGCCGACCTGCCGCTCACAGCTGGGGAACAGCTGGATGTCATCGACGCCTCGCAGGGCCACGCCGTCATCTGCCGCAATGCCCAGGGCAGATGTGAGTCTGCAGCCCGGCTCTGGGTGACAAACCACCTCCCGAACCGCGGCGCGTCCTCCGCGCTCGGCCCCGTTTGGCCAGATTTTAATTCCTTTCCTTTTTCCTCCTCCCTCAGATGGGTACGTTCTGGTGGAGCACTTGAACTTCAGGTAATCTCTGATTTTTTATTTATTATGATGCATATTCTCCTCTCTTTCCTGTGTGGGGATAGCTGGAGAAATGTACTTAAAACTTCTGAAGGCAGGGGGAGTTAATGTAAACAGCCAGTATTAAATATTAAATAAGTATTTCCAGTTTTGCTCTGCTGCTGGACAAGTTTCCAGCCCAACTGCAGCTAAAAAAAGCCCTGTCCAGTCATGACTTGTGTAAATTGGAGATTCCTGACTTGCCTTCAGATATGCCATATTAATCCACATCTGCTGCAAACATGGGCCACTCGGTGTACCTTGCCTTGCCAAAACACACCCTTAAATTCCCTGCTGCAGCATTTCCTTGCATGCTCATGCATAATTCATAGAAATTAGTCTCCTCTTACCCAGGTGGGCCTTGCTGGGAAAATTCCTTTTTTTTTCTTTGAGACAGACAGTACTAACTGCCCTGAGAGCTGCTCTCCCCTGGAGCATCCCTGAAGGTCTCTTGTGCTTCCTGCATCCGTGACAGCCCGTGTTGGTCAACTGTGGGGTGATGATGGGAATGTAAATAAAGCTGGAGTTTTTTACTCTGTTTAATGTGTAAGAGATGTTTCCTTCTTTTTTTTTTTCTTCTTTTTTTTTCCCCTGCCATTTAGAGCATGTCTTCACTGATTATTAGTTATTTTCAGTATTTCCCACTTTTTGGAGTACCTTGTTGGTCAGCTCTGAAACAGCCATTATATTTCTACATTTTAAGAAAAAGAACAGTGCAGTTTAGTTGCTCAATCTCATTTCTGTCAGAACTGCAAGTTTCCCCAAAAGATTTGCCCCTTAAAAAGCAAACCATATAAATTGGAACTGGTTCTGGTCTTAAAAGTATTGGGAGAAGTAGTATGTATCACCACTCTTGCTGTGTTAAATATATAAAATAGTGGAAAAGGTGACTCATTTCTGTGCAAAAATAATATGAAAAAAGAGTAAATAAAGCATTCAGTCAAAAATGACTTTATTTTTTTAAGCTAACTTAGGCATCCCAGATATGTAAAAGCTGACTCCTGGCTCCCAAGGACTCGCAGCAACAGGGAATTACCCAACAGTTGCCCCTGTGTTCAGGCTGCTCCCTCTCCACTGTGGGCCTGGCGGATGATTACTTATTTTCAGAAAAATGCCCCTAAATGTAGGAAGAGAAATATAAATTGCTAATGGCTTCTCCTCCATGTATTCAGTAGATACCTTTCAAAAGCGAAAAATAAATGTGGATAAAGTTTTTACATGGCTTTGAAAGAAAATAAACCCTTAAATCTGACTGTAGTGTACAGCTTTTACCCCTTCCTGGCATATTTTAGGAGCCCATATCAGTTTGCTCATAAATATCCTAAAAATGTAAGATGTTTTAATTAGAAATTATTAAATGTTCCAGGCTTAAGAAAAATAAAAGCGCTGTTTGCCACAGGGCCATTTCAAAGCTGGCATAGGAGACATCAGTAAAAAAAAACAGAGCAAATATTTAACATTTACTTTTAAGTCTATACAGCCATTCTTATTTATTTTACCATGTGGTTACTATTAAGTGCATTGGCCTGCATCCATCCTTGCAGCAAAAAAAAATAAATAAAGCACTCCCCTGTAAGCATGCGCAGCTTTGCAGCCCTGCCAGCCCAAATATTTGGATTTTTCTGGTGGAGAGGGAGAGTTTGGGGAGCTGGAGTGCGCGTTTGGCTTTGGCACGGGCTGGGACGTGCTCTGTGCCTTTCACCTCCATCCCTTTGCAGGGAATTGGCCCCAGGGAAGTGCTGGAGACAGTTTCTCCTCAGGTTTTGGTTTTTTTTCCATGGTGATGTTTAGGATTAAAACCTTGAAGAAAACACCCCCTTCCTCCACTCCTTCCTCATCCTCCTCCCTGCCAGCACTCGTTCACAACTCATGAAGTCTATTAATCACCCCCTCTGGAAGCACTGGGGGCAAATTCTGTATTAGACACATGTGCAAGCTCTTTTTTGCCTCCCAAGGAAGTTATTTAACAAGTTTTTCTTATTTTAAACGAAGGGATTTTTAGGAATCTCCCCCTGTATCCTGTGACAGACGTGATGCAGCCCCAATCCTGGTGCTTGTGGGGTTGTGCCCAAACCCCTGGGAAACACAAACTTCTGCACTGCAGCTGATTTAATGCAAGGATGCCTTGCAATACCCTTAGAAATGCTTTTTGTTCCTCGTGGACACATTCCAGTGCATGCAAAGAAGAAAAGAGCTTGCTATGGGCTGACTCCAGATAATACAAAAAATGCTTTAGATACAGCAACTTCGATTTCCTCAATTAAACCACAGGTTGGCTATATTTAGGTCAAGAGATTGGTCAGGAAATTAAACTCATCCTTTTTTTTTTTTTTTTTTTTTTTCCCTCTTTACAAGTCTCATTGGTACATCCTAACCACATCAAAACTTAGAATAATTCTCATGTGAGTGTTAAGCCCTGTTCCTCCACGTTTCTCCTCAAAGGGGAAATAATCACGATAACAGCTGTGAGTTGATGAGCCTGAGGGAGAACTGAAATTGTGTAAAAAGGGGATAGGATAGGGACAGATCTGGGGCACTCCCTGCAGCTGTGTGCTTGAACTGGAGTTACATCCTCCTGCATCACAGGCACAGAGGAAACAGGTGCCCAGTTTTGTCCCCAGCACTTTTTCTGCAGTGAAAGGTTATTTTTGCATGATGTCTTCAAAATGCTTCTCCCTCTTTACTCCTTGCTGTAAGGAGTGAAGATCTGAGTCAGCACATATAAATACACGAGCCTGGCTCCTGGCATGGATTTTGGGTTGGGGAAGTTGTTTAAATTACTCATGTGGAAATTTTAGCTACACCCCCTGCCCCCCACCAAGCCCTGGGGGCATCTGCGGTCCCACAGCTGGGATGTGCAAGGATCTCCAGAGGGAAACTCCACCAACCAACCCCAGCCTGCAGAAAGGGACCGTGCAGTAAGGAAATCCAAAGGATTTGTTGCTTTTATCTCTTTTCATCTCTGAGTTTATTAAAGTGCAAATGTCAACCATGGAGACGGCTATCACATGCAGTGCAGTACACCGAGAAACACTTTCCACACCATAAATGGAAGGAAAAAGGCTTCGTTGTGATTATCTGATGCACAAAGGACAAAACTGAACCAGGGCTCTGTGCCCTTCCATGACAGAAAGTACTACAGCCATGAACTGGGAAACAAAACCCTCTCCAGGCCCTCAGCTGACAAAATAGAAAATATCGAGAAGGATGGAGTGTTTACAGAGCTCAGGGGTTTTTTTTCTGAGCTTCATGTTAATGATATGTTTGAAGGGATGCTTCTACTCAGAACTTTTTCTTAAAATTATAAATACATAATATTATAAATCATAAATATTCCTTAAAGTATGAATTTAAGAACTGCAGTAGACAAGTCCAGTTTACCTCTCTCATAGAGCTGAGGTTTGTCTGCCCAGAGATGCTGGGCCAAGGACACCACAGAAATCCTGGGATTCAGTTTTGCTTTGTGCTCTAAAAGAAAAAAAACAAAACAAATGCATTGAGGTACAAACCACGTGAATATAACATGATACAGAACACATGAACATGCTTTCAGCAACAAGAATAAATATTACCATGGCTACAGAATCTACTTCACAGCTTTGTGAGATGAGGATAAATAAACTATTTCCAAACTTAAAAAAAAAAAAAAAATCAGAGATGAGTCTTACAAATAAACTTTGATTTTTAAATTAAGGCAGCTTCAGCAGGAACTTCAAGGCTTTTGTTGAAAACAGACTTTTTCTAACACCAAAAGTGTACTCGTGCTTGCAGGTAGAGCTCTGATTCACAGTCTAGTTCTCCTAATTTTGACGATTAAAATGAGCAAAGATCTGTGCATCGAATACCAGGTGTGCCCTCTGCAAAAGTCAGTGTTCCATCAGTAGTTGTCATGTGGGAACTCTGAAACCCAGTTCACCTCTCAGGCATGGGACTGAGGTACCTCTGGCTGAATCATTAACTCCATGGCCGGGAGGCAGGCTGGGAATTCAGAATTACAAGAAGCTGTTGCATTTGTTTTTTTTTTTTTAATAAGCAAATGATGAAAAAGGGATATGTAAGGGGAGGGCTAAGGAAGCCAAAGGAAAGCACTAAATGAAAAGCCCATACCAAAGTAAGACCTTAAGAAAGGTGACTCTAGTAAGGTCCATCATATACCTGGAACAAAACCAGACCCTAAAACTTTCCAGGAAAGAAACAGCAGGAGCTCGAGAGGGGGTTGGCTTGGCTCATCCAGATGTGCGATTCTTCTTCCCTCTCTCCTCTCAGCTAATAAAAGGGTGAAGCCAAATAATTGCACAACAAATGGTACTTCAAGTATTTAGAAACACGGCCTGCATGTCTCAGAGGGGGGATCCTGCATGAGCTGGGGAAATTGTGCACCTCGTGAAACAAAGCTGCCACTTGCAGCAGTCCCAACGCGCAGCGAAGGCACGAGTTCATGTCCTGCACACAGCTCCCTCTTCCTCCTACAGGGCTGCACGCTGACAGCAAAGAGCAGTGAAATGAAAAGGAGTAGACAGAAGGGTTATTTTGTTCAAACCTCATCAATTCCAACACGAATGCCACTATAATCACACACAGAAACGCACACACGGCACACACGAACCAGCTGGCTCACGTTTTTACAACACTGCCCATGTACTCCCCTGTGCTTGTACACACCTTGTGAAATGCTGAACTGGACACACACCTGAAGATGCATTTCTGACCCGTTGAAGGGGGGAAAAAAAAAATATCCTGCTGCCTTTACCTGCTCAGCTCCAGCTCCTGAAAATACACCTGCCCCAAAGCCATCAGCAGCAGGGCTTTGGCCAGGGGGGTGGAAGGGCAGGATTCTCACAGCTCCTGATGCCACTGCTCCTCCCATCCCTGGCCAAGGCCATGCCGAGCCTGATGGGGTGAGCTAAGCTACTCATGGGCTTTACCTAAAAGAGGGTGTAAAAATAGCATTCCCTTTGTCCAGGCCCTCTCAGAGGCTGGGATTAGTGAGGGGTGGCAGTGTCCAGGGCACACACCTGCCCTGCTGGAAGAATAAAGCTGAGAGGTCAATGACAGGGATGCCACCTACATTTTATATATATATGCATGTATGCATATATAGTATTTACATATACATAGCTTCCAACAAGAACAAGCAAAGGTATTTTTGAATTAACTCATCCAGGAGCTGGAGGTTTCTGTTGGAGCCTATCTGAACTCTTTGCATTTTGTCTCTCTCCCCCTCAAGCTGAAGCAAAATTTGGGTGAGTTCGCGGCTTGCAAAGCACAGCTGTTCAGTGGCTTCTGAAGAATTGCACTTGGAGTAATTCAAGTTTCTGTAGTTCAAATATTGTCTACCCTGCTTTTCCCGATGCTTGTGCATGTACCAGCATAACTCAAAAAGAGCTGACCACAGTGTAACAGTGTGGAAGTCAAACTCTTCCTCTGGAAAATGTAACTGGAGGTCAGCAGCTCCTCTGCAGCTGGGAAACAGAACACAGCCTATTCGAAGGTAAAATAAATAATACAAAGAAGTGAAAGTCCTCAGGGTGTTCCAAAGTGCAGCACGGATTTGGACAAGGCTGTGATGGACCAGTCAGTCTGATGTGGTCACTGGGGAGGTGCTTCCACCAGTCCTGCTCCCTCCACTGCCTCTGCTGACCCTGAGCAGGGAAGTGCTTCATCTCTTTGTGTCTCTCCAAATGGAAAGCTGAGTAACTCTGACTGCCCTCCAGGCAGGACTGGTTCTGCAGATCCACACAGCAGTTAAATGTTTGCACGGGTCGGAGAAGATGCCAAGTGCCACAAGGGGCTTATTCTACAACCTAGAAATCCCACCTGCCTCCAGGAAGCAAATATTTCCTCTCAAGGGCATTTGCTGCTGCTTAATACTATTAGTTCTGCTGGGCAGGAAATCCCAGAGGACAAGAGTCAATTTGAAAAAAGACATCAGTACATCTACCTGCTCCTGAGCCCCACACTGGAACACACCAGCCCCTTATCAAGGGGGCTACAGGTGCTGCCAGGACTTGGCAAGATGCTCAGCTGGGAGTGAAGATTTGAAAAGCCTTTAACATTTGAAATACGTTTCACTCATTGCTGTTTCCTGGATGGAAATGAATGTCTGGCCCTACAGCTGCTCCTGCTCCTTTGCAAAGGGGCTCATCCCCATCACCCCAAACCATTTTTGCTCATCTCAGCCTTGATCCAAAAGCTGCTGGAGGGCTGGGTGCTCCTCAGCTTTGACTCTGGGGTGGGGTTTGGGGTTTTTTTTGCATGCAGGAGTTTGGATTCTCCATCCAAACTCACACCACAGCACTGGGGACACAAATCACCTGGCAGCCACCAGGCACAGCACCAAAGCCATCCTCACCCCAGAGTACTTATTTAATAATCATGATGTAATAAAAGGCTTGCTACAAAACCTAGGAGCACTACAAATATTTCCAGTATTTCTTACAGTCCAACCACTGCTGTGCTGGATTTAATGTTCAAGAGCTTAACAGCAAAACTGACTTTTTTTCTTTTTTTTTTCTTTTTTTTTTTGGAAGCTTTCTACTTTGTGCGGCTTCTGGAAAAATTGCAGCTGTAAAGTCACGTTAGTGAGGATCCAAGCACAATCTGTAACAAAAGTAAGGCAATTTTGTGGTTCTTTTTTTAAAAAAGGGACTTCAAACTGAAAAGGTCCATTTAACTGCCAGTAGATGGCAAAAATATCCCATGTTTGTCTTGATTACCTTAAATGATTAGTAAAAAAGGCTTAATTTGTTGTTCTCTTCCTTGCTTCTCATACAAACTTGCAGAAAGTATAAATTAAAGTGCAACTGTACAAAACAAAACTCTAGGAAAATACCTCAGGGGGTCATAAGAAGCTATCAAAAAGACAGATTACATTTTTTTTCAAGTTGAATGACTGCATACCTGGGACCAGCAAAAGTTCTTTGCTTTGTTTCTTAAAACAGAACACAAAAGAAAATGAAAAAAAAAAAAAAAACCAGAACAAAACCAAACCCGCCACCCAACTTTTTTTTGGCAAAGCTTTCATAAAGCATTTGTTCCTTGATTAGACTGTTACTTCATAATCAAGTAAATGGAATTAAATACCATGTCAAAGCCAAGCAGATGCCAATGCTGCCCATTAGCTTAATCCCGTGTAATAAAAAATAATAACTCCTTTAAACAAAGAAGTCACACATGCATTAGGGTTTACCCTTGGGTAACAAGAATTTAACCTTAAAAATCCCCGCAGTTCATCTTAAAAAATAAAATCCAATCCTTCAGATAGCCAGTAGCAAAGGAACAGTAAAATTCCGGGTTGGGATGTCCCTGCCTGGTCAGCGGAGCAGCGAAGGTCACAGTCCAGTGGGCAGCAGGACAGGAGAGCCCTTGGGCAGGGGCAGTGAGTGTCCAGCAGCAGGGAAGGCAGATTTGGCAGTGATTTTGGGGAGGTGACAACAGGCAGAGTGTCCTAGGGGAAAGGTGAGAGGTGAGTGTTCCGGAGCTGTGCGCCTCTGATGGCTCCTGCCCATCAGGGATGATCCCAGCCCTCGGGGGAAGAGCCGGGTTCTCAGCTGGGTGATCCAGATCCTGTCCTCTGCTCACCTGAACCCTGCCTGGGATTCAGCCCCTGGGGCCCGTGGTGAGGCAGGGCAGGGGGAGCAGGCTGGAGGGAGGTGAGAAAAAGGCAATCTGCCTTCAGCTCCGAGCGTGGCGAGCAGGTCAGTGCTGTGCGGAGCCCTTGGGCAAAATAAAGCACCTTAGGGACACTCCTCGGCAAAGAGAGGACAGGGACAAAGACTGCACCTTAGGGACACTCCTCTGCAAAGAGAGGACAGGGACAAAGACTGTGCCTTAGGGACGCTCCTCGGCAAAGAGTGGCCTCCCCATGGCAGGTTTGCACCAGGACCTTTGCACATCCCACCTTCCCTGCCCATCTTCAGCAGAGGGAAAAAGAGAGGGGAGGGAGGTCATATTGCACTAGTGCAGAAGAATCTAAGCAGCTGCTGCTTTGGGGAGAAAAGTGTTAGAGAGGCTGGCACCTGGGGGTGAACACTGCAGAGCTGCTTCATCACCCTCCACTCCACCTCACAGAGCTCCTGGTCAACCCCTCTGCCCTGGCTCAGCTCAGCCTGCCCCTGCTCTGCACAGCCTCAAGGAAACACCAAACTCCCTGCAGGAAGTGTGGTTATGCCTCCATTACCTCAGGATGAACCAGGGGGGAGGTGTTTTCCAAAAACTCAGTGATAATGTTCGTTACTTTACAGCCTTAACATATCCCATGGGGTTCACAAGGAAAGAAGAAAAAACAGTATTGGATACATTTCACTAGGCACAAGGAGAGAAATTACGTTAATTTCCTTGGTGCCTTGCTAGAAGGGGGCATGTTTTGGGCCTGGACTTGGCTCTGTGGGGCAGTGAGGGAAGGAGGAGGAAGAACAAGGAAGCAAGAGAAAGGAGGGGGCGGACGAGTCAGCGCAGATCCTCACAGTGCGCAGAGCGGCCGTCAGCGGGCCAGGGCCATGATGAGGCTGGCACACATCTCGAAGAAGTCCATAGTGTGGCTGCCCAGGCGAGGGGGCACCGAGGGGATGCTGCCCACGAAGGAGCCGCTCAGGGAGCCCGTCAGCGACTGGCACTCGGTGGCCGCGGCCGCGTCGATGCTCAGGCGCGGCCGGTGCAAGCCCGCGGCCGAGCAGGAGCGCTGCGGCGTGGAGGAGCCAGACCTCTGCTCCATCACCTCGTCTTGAAAAGCCAACAAAAAGGGAGAAGAGAGGAAAAAGTGGGATTAGTTCGGCAGCTGCAACGCGGGTGTGGTAATGAAATGGGAACAGCAGCAGAGTTCAAAAGGCTCGGAAGGGCTTCTGCTGAAATGACACGGATGTAAGTGCTTCAAAATGCAGGGGATGGTTCTTAAACTTCCAGCCTTGCCCTTCTACGTGTTCTCCATCTCCTACTCACCATCGATGCTTTTGAAGTCCAGCAGATAGCTGCGGTTGTCCACCTGGTAGAGCTGCAGGCTCATCTTCACGTAGTTGCCGGTCACGGGGTTCTTGCGGCGCACCCGCAGGTGGTAGGCGTTCACCACCTGCAAGGGGAAACTGCCCTCAGCAGGGAGACTCCAGGCAGCAACAGGAACACTTCTTTCCTTATTTTTTCTAAATATGAGCAAGATATCTTCTGGGAAAAAACAGTTTCTCAAAAGGAAAACCACTATAAAATGAAGCAAACGGCTTCGTTTCCTCCTATCTTTAAATATTCTTCTTAAGGCTGTGATTCACCAGCTGCTGGCTGAGGAAGCTGCAGGGACCCACCTGCCAGGCACAAAACTGATGTCTGCTCCTCCCTCAGCAGCAGCCATGGCCACATGAAACAAAAAGTCCACTCGTGGACAGTACTTGTGAAATCAGGGCAAGCTGGGCAGAGCAGAGCAGCCTCTCCCATCAGCACAGCCAAACCCAGTGCTTCTAGATCAGTCTCAAGCTGAGTATTTCCCCTTGCTGTTTCCCACCTCACAATCTGCTGCATCTCATTTACAATGAGATGCTATATTTATGAAGAAACTGCGTGGATGGGGGAGTTAATTCTGATGAAGAGTCACATCTGAAGTTATTCTTAGGGTGGGAAAGGCTATTGTGAAACCTCCTTGTATGAAATAAGCTCTGCTGCCTACTCAGAGATGTTGGGCTGAGTTGGTTTTTGAGGCTGTAGCAGAAATACAGCAGGTTTGTTCACTCCCTGTAAAACCTTGCAGCTAAAAAATGTCTGGCTGGTGTGGGCAAATGCACCTGGCCAGGTCCATCTCCTGCCTGGTGCAGGGAAATGGGGTTTCTGGAAGCTACTTGGTTTTAAACATGCATTATTATCAAAAATAAGGAGGAGGCAGGAGGTTTTAAAGAAGCAGAACAGTGAAATTCACACAGTACAATGCTTGGGACCTGGAGGGAGGAGGGGAGCTCCTCTGGTGATGAAGATCTGGGCTGAAATTCTCCTTACCTGGCTCCCAGTGCTCACATGATGCTGCTGCCAAAGGCCACGAGCCAGGAGAGCTCACCTCAGGGGCTGCACCAGGATCTGGGGAGTCAGGCACAGCAGTAGAGCTGCAGGGCTAACTTAGGGATATATTATTCCAACTTTGAAAAGGTCTGTGACTAAATGTTGCACAGCCCTGGAGAAATACCTGCAGTGAATACTATCAGCTGAAACATCTAGATTTAAATCAAGAAGCTGAGCCCTAAACTGAAGAAGCAATAAGTGTCTGAAAAGACATGTGGTCCGAGAGCACTGCTGCATCTCCATCAAGGAAAAAGCCACCAACCATATCAATGATACAAATTTTGCACCCAAGGGCCCCTGCCCCTCATCTGTGCATCCTTTAGGACAATTTGTACTGTACCCTTTCTGTCCTGACAGGACCAGGCAGAAATAATGAGAGTTCCTCTGCTCAGGAGCACTCGAGATGACCTCGCAAGGAATTAGCCACTAAAATTAGAAATGTGAACAGCTCCTCTTATCCCTGCAGCCAAACAAGGCAGAATCATCTTCCCAGCAGAAGTCTTGAAGCTCTCAGAAAGAAACCCCATATTTCACACCAGAAAGAAACACCACAGATAAGCACAAATAAGCACAGCTGGCACCTCAATTCAGTGAGTTTGCCTTACCAAGGAATAGCAGGGATGATTGCAAGGTGGGGGCATTTATCTGGAAACAGGTGGGGGCATTTGTCTGGAAACAGGTGGGGGCATTTGTCTGGAAACAGGTGGGGACATTTGTCTGGAAACAGGTGGGGCTCCCTGAGTTTATGGGATAAAGGATGCTGGAAACCCACCCCAGCACTCCCTACCTTCCACTCGAAGTCCAGCTGCTTCATAGCCCGGTACACCTCGGCCATAATGTCATAGGGCTTGCTCTGGCTGCGGATCCCCAGGTGCCACTTGGCCTTTTTGACAGTCAGGGGCTTTGGCTTGGTGGTGTTGAGGGCGTCCAGGGGACAGCGAGCCTTGGGGCTGTCGGCGATGAGCGGCGGCATCCGCTCGGGGTGCGGCTTCACGCCCGGAGGGATGTGCAGGGCGCTGTCGTCCATGAAGGAGCCGGTGGGAGGGCTGGAGGCCAGGTAGAACTCGCTGGCCTGGTTCATGATGCGGCGGTTGTCGATGACCAGGTGGTAGGCCACGGCCAGCTGGTCCTGGGGGTCGCCGCTGTACAGGCTGTTCATCACCTCCGACTCGGTGCACTCGAACTTCTCGCACACCTCCCGCACCGCCTCGTCGTCGATGACCGTGGCGTCGTAGGAAGGGTCCTCTGGGAACAGGTAACTGGGCAGCTCCTCCTTGAACCACTCGTGTTCCCTGGGGAAGGCAGAGGGGAGCCTCGCTGTGATAGCTGTGAAGATGGGGGAACCACCACCAGCCAAGAGTGAACTCCAGCTGATGAACGGGGAGCAAAGCCCAGCCCGGTACGGGGACAGCGATGGCACTCTGCAAACTGGGTTTGAAGACCTCAACACTTCCAAGGGTCTCACACTTTGGGATTCCCATGGGCCTGGTGGAGATACAGAGCATCAAACCTACCCAATTCCCATGTCCAATACCCAATTCTCACCACTTTACAATGAGGTGAATGATAATTAAGTGTCTAAAACTCACACACTGCCTTGTCGATTGTGGGTGTACCAGTTGTGGGTTTCTCTGGGTCTGCATTGAAGGCACTTGAGACAGTAGTTCATGTTGGGACTCAGGTGTTTATTATTTCTTACCAGTAAAACAGTCTCACTACTGTGAGTTCAGCAGCTTTTCATTAGAAGGCACAAAATGGCTATCTCTTGTTATAAGGTCTTTTAAGACTAAATTATCCAATGAAGAACTGACACCTAGATTATTTTCCCTTTTAACCCAATAACTGATCCCAAAGAGCCCCCAGTGAGGACTGTTCTGCCCAATTACAAAATGCCACCCAAACCCATGAAGAAGGAAGAAGCATGAAGAAGAAACCCAGGACAGCACCCTGTGCCCTCCATCTTGCTTCCATCCACAACATACTAAAAATCCCAAAGCCTGAATTTCTCACCAAGTGATACACCTACACTACTCTCTATAGTCTATTGCACACTTTTGTGGATTCCAGTCTATCTTGAAGTCTGGGAAACTTTCTCCATGAATGAGGGTCAAAGTCAGTGTTCCCCTGGGGGTCTGGGCACCCCAGAGCAGACAGAGAAATATTCCCAGTGCACTGGGTTTCCATAGTCTATAGGTTCTATGTACTGACAGCAATCTTGCCACATGTGCTGCCTCTCTAATATGTAATTAAATCCTCTCTTCCTAAGGAATTAAGGAATAAAAAAGGAAGTTTGCATGGGTTTGCTTGAAGGGTAAAATGAAGGCCATCCATTGAAAATGCATTAAGAACCTGAGAATTTCTGGAAGCCCTAATACAGTTTATGTTCATGCTTAGCACATAGCTAGATGTAATACATCCAATATTTACATATTAAGTTAGTAACTCTTGGGTTTCTCCCCCTTTTCTTTTGGATATACAGTAAGTACAACGATTACCCCCTTTATCTGGTACCCATAGGGACATGGCCTTGAAATATAGTAATGAAAAATGGTTCTTGGATATTATTAAATTATTGGGATTATTGCATGCTATAGCTCGTTTTGCTAAGTGCTGTTAAGAGATTTTTAAGGCTAGTTTATAATGCAATAAAATAGAATTTTAAATATTTGCACATAAAATATATATAAAAAATCCTCATCCTGCTCATCATCACCCACTTCCAGCCAGCACAGAAGGGGTGCAGGGCTGCTCCTTGAATCACTTGGGACAAGAACTATCTGGATTAGCTGACTACTCCTGAAAACCACCCTGCCACCCACTAACAGGTGACCCCCAGGACAGTCACCAGTGACCCCCACAGCCAGCCAGCCCACCCCAGCCCACCTGATGTCCTTGATGGTGGCTCTCTTGAGGGGGTCCACCTGCAGCATGTGCATGAGGAGCGTGGCCACGGAGCGGTTGAGGTACTCAGGGATGTAAAACACTCCCCCACGGATCTTCTTGAACAGGGTGGGGACGTGCTCGTCGTCAAAAGGCAGAGTGCCACACAGGAGGGCGTAGAGGATGACACCACAGCTCCAGATGTCCACCTCTGGGCCAGCATAGAGCCTGCACGAGGACAAGGGCAGGAGAAAGCTGTCACCACCACCCTCTCCTCAAGCAGGATGCAGGCTCTGTGTCACCCCCATCCTCTCCTCAGGCTCTGTGTCACCACCACCCTCTCCTCAGTCAGGATGAAGGCTCTGTGTCACCCCCATCCTTTCTTCAAGCAGGATGCAGGCTCTATGTCATCTCCACCTTCTCCTCAGGCTCTGTGTCACCCCCATCCTCTCCTCAAGCAGGATGCAGGCTCTGTGTCACCTCACCCTCTCCTCAGTCAGGATGCAGGTTCTGTGTCACCCCCATTCTCTCCTCAGTCAGGATGGAGGTTCTGTGTCACCCCCACTTTCTCCCCAGGCTCTGTGTCACCCCCACCCTCTCCTCAATCAGGGTGCAGGTGGGGGGACCCCCTGCCAGCTCCAGCAGGACAGAGCTCCAGCCCACACCAGGGCTGCTCACGTGGCTCCCCCCAAACCAAATGTGCCTCAGCCAAAACTGCTCAGGGAAGTGAATGGCAGGGCTGGCACTGGCTGCCCACACTCCTGTGTACAACCCTGCCTCCACCAAACTCTCCAAAAAGCCAAACCTCACATTTGCAAGAGCCCTGCCAGGCTGTTTGCTACTTTGCCCCATAAATTTCTGTTTATTGAATGAGGCAGATCAAGCAGCAACAGATAATTCTGTCTCTGAGTGTTTATTTTTGATGTGCTGGAATCTAAATGCTCCCGCTTCTGACAAGCTGCCAAATGTGCTCTCTGCCACCACCAACTCAGGACATCCCAACTAATACAGTTTTGCTGCTGCTGCTCATCTCTTTTTGCTACATCTGATGCCTCCCCAGAGATTTTGGGAGGCAACACTTGCCCTTGGGCTGTGAGGCCCAGCCAAAATACAGAAGTTGAAATGCAACTACAGAAGTCTCTTCATGAAACCTGCACTTGATCCTCCTGAAAAGCATCACTGCAGACACATCAGCAGAGAAATCATGCTGGTCATGCATGTGACCATTCTCTGAACACCCCCAAAACACCTGGTCTGCTTCTCCAAGGGTGAGACTTTCCCTGCTGAGGCCAGGGGCAGCAGCAAAGCCATTTTGGAATGGCAGAGGCTCAGCTGGATGCTCTGCCTCCATGCCCAACTCCCACAGATCAGAAGCTTGATTTTTTTTGCTGATAAGAGCACTGCCTGAGCAGTTTTTTGGACTTTTAAGCTCACATGAGATGCACTTTTACAGCTCTGAAAACTGAGCTGTCACGCTCTACTGCTTTTGTGCTCTAGCAGGGAAGGCAGCAGGAGCCAGGAGTCAGCTCCCCCCTGCCCCACACAGCCCCCAGCAGGGCAGAGAGGGTGGGCCGTGCCTGTCCCCCCAAAATGCAGCTCTGAGAAGAGGCCAGCTTGGCACATTGAGCAGGGCCATGAAACTCAGGCAGGCCTGAGCCTGCAGGTGGGAGTGATGAGGGAGGGATGCAGCTGCAGCCAGCCAAAAAGTGCAACACGTGGGCTTGGTTTTGGTTTTCCTTCTTACTTTTGTTGTTACTAAACTTCATTGCCTGTATCCTGGGAACACTCAAGGACTAAATCCTCCTTGCTGATCTGCCATGTGCCTTCTCTCCTATACAAATTGAAAAATGTGTCTGGCCTTCACTGAGATGGAAATACTATTTTTTTGGAATCCCAGTAGTTTCTGGCTTTGTCCCCTTCTTGACAATGAGGATTTACTTGGTTTCATTTCACACACAGAGCTGTAGTCACAACAGGGTTTTTGGATGCTAGTCTAATTCCTAGGATGCTCTGCCAACACTTGCTCTGGTGTACACAGGGATAAAATAATCATAATCACAGCAAACACATTCTGAACAAAATGTTCTATTTAAAACCTACAGATATAGGCAAAAATACACTGGATTAGGAAAAGTAAAGCTCATGGCAAAAGGGATTTAAATAAATAAGGGGCAGATAATGAGATGGGCAGTTTGAAGGACCATTCAGAGGACTGAAAATTTGAAAATCTGTATTTGCAATCTTTGCTAAGGTATTACAGAGAGAATTAGTGCAAAATGTACATTCTATATAATTTCTGTCCCTGACAGCAAAATATAGGAGGCAACACTTCTGTATCAACACGTGGAAGTCCAATTCAGCCTCGTGGGGTGTGCCCAACACTCCATGTGCTGTACAGATGTTTCATGCTGAGAGATGCAACCACAGAGGAGGTTTGTCAATTCAATGAATCAGTTCAAAACAAAGCTCTGAAGGCTGAGCCTACTGCCACAGCCAAAACCCCAAGCTTAAGGAACCAGAAGACAAGTATTTTCTTTACCAGTGTTGGGAAGGGATTAAAGATCTTCCTGCTCCTTTTGTTAGCGAATGGTTTTCCTCGTTAACACCGTGTTTTATATTACAGGTGGGCAGGAGAGGAGGGGGTGGCCTGGAAAAGCCTTTCCACCTGGAACCTCAGTATTTGCATCCAAAGAGTCATTTTCACCCTCTTTAATTAGCAATATAAACAGTCAACATCTGGTATTAATAATTCCTCCAAAGTAAACACCTGTAGCAAAACACGGTTTGCTATTACAGCTACTGAGAAGTAAAATAAGCAAGAAAACCTTCAGATCTTTGCCAACAGATTCACCCAAGCACAAAATCCAGGTTGGAAGGATTCAGCTACTTTTACTAGACGTGCAAAGCTGTTTCCAATACCAAGAACAAATTTAAACTCCATGTGCTCACATAGACTCTGATGAGAAATGGAATGTCTCACCTTCCAGAGATGACTTCAGGGGCTGCATAATTTGGGGAACCACAGCTGGTGCGTAGAAATTCACCATCTGACATCATGTTGGACAGTCCTAAAAAAATAAAAAATACTTATTATACACTGATGTTTGATCTGAAGGTCCAGACATGCTGGACCCTATGTCACACAGAGAAAAGGCAGGGAAGTGGAGTGGGATATTTGGAAGGGAACTGTTGATATAATTAAGACAGACTTCTCTGACCTGATTTGTAAATTGTTACTTTTGTTATTATTGCTGTTGTTGTTTGTTATTTTTTTGTTGGGTTGGTTTTTTTTCACATCCAACCAAGAAATATTCACTCCAGGCTAATTTTGCTCCTCTAAATTGCAAATCCCAGAGCATGGAGGAGAAGAGAAATAATTCATCCCAGAGCACTCACTTCATATGGCAACTGGGTGGAGCTGCGAAATGAGTAAATCTTCAGAAGGATTTACATTGTTAGAAAGGACTCACCAGGACAGAGTTGGTAGCCCGGGTATTTTAATGGATTTCAATCCCTAATGCCACTTAGAGACTCCTGTTACTGCTGGTTTGTAAAATGAACGGAGGCCAAGAGCACATGGCCAAACAGAGGGAGAACATGCACGAAAATAAACACACACAGCCAGCTCACCCTGAATTAGCTGCACCGAGCCTGCCCCAAACACAAATTAGGTAAATTTGACGTTGGGTGATTACACTCAAACACAGCAGAGATTTACAAATTACCTCTCTGCTCCATTCTCAGTGCCACTACAGGAGCAGCCTGCAGCAAGTAATCCCTGCTGCTGCAGGAAGGGCAGTGTTTGTAAGTGTGGGATTTCCAGGTGCTGGTGGTTGGGGCAGCAGGCTCTGCCGCTCCACGGCCACGCTCCGGCGGCGCTGGCCGCGCCTCTGGAATGCTGCTGGGGTCACATACCAAAATCAGCTATCTTTGCATTCATGTGTGCATCCAGCAGCACGTTCTCTGGCTTCAGGTCCCTGTGCACCACCATGTGCCTGTGGCAGTAATCCACTGCAGACAGGATCTGCTGGAAAAGGCGTCGAGCTTCTGCCTCCTCCACCTGTGGGGACAGCAGAGGGAACAGCGCTGGGGCTCGGTGTGCACTCAGGCAGGGGAAGGTTTCACTCAGCAAGGAGCCAAAAAGCTTCCAGAGTGCAGAGGGAAAATCCCAGAGTGCCTCAGAGCAGAAGCAGCAAATAAAGCAGATTTCTCACCCTTGCATTTTACAGTGTGCCAGTGTTTGAAAATGATACAGCCCTGAGATGGAAGGTGAGACCTCAGTTCAGGTGAGATGTCAACAAGAATTTAAAGGTGGCACCTATCAGACAATGGCCTGCTGTCCCAATGGGATTGGTACAGATCCAGGCTGGACAAAAAACCACAGAGGATGTTGCTGGGAGCAATTCCTCATGGACTTCTTCTGGAAGCAACAGGTGAAGCTGGAATACTGTGGTGATTTTAATTACCTGTGTAGCTAATAAAGTTGTCTGAGATATATCAGAGAAACTATATTTTCAATTATTATTTTTACTGATTAATTCCAAAAGACTCCCTTCATGAAAAACTGAGTTTATCAGAAAAGATCCAAATCAGTCACTGAAAAGATCTAGATGGGTAAAATGTGTGAGAAATCAGAACTGTACATAGAAAAGAAAACTGAGTCAGCTCCATTGACCACTACACTAATCTAACCCAATCTGCAGTAAATGTATTGATTTTGTAGCACACAGAGGGAACATGTGATGGGCTGATCCTTCACCTGAACCCTTAATTCTGGATGTCCACTTTGGCCCATTTTTACCTCCTTGCCCTGCAACTGCTCCATGGGGCAGACACCAGCGATTTTCCTTCTAACCAAAATCTCACATTTCACAAGTGATTTATACCCAGTGGGACCGCTGGCATTTGAAAATGTTGCTCAGATAAGCCACATCCTTGAAAATTCTTCAAAGAACCTGACATGGAACCAAGAGGGGGGTCTGGGAATGGAGATCACACCAAGTGGTTTTCCCCTCCCATGCCATAAATTTGCTGCTGATCGTGGGGGTTTTGACAGGCAACCCATAGCTAAAAATCACAAAAATAAGCCAGTTTTCCAAATATTTGCCCTAAGCAACACGTTACCTTGTATATTTTGGTTTGAGGATGAAAAATACACCAGAGAACGCTGCAAAAATTCACAAACAAGTTCCGTGTGAGCCGGTATGAGACACCCCAGATGGGGTTGCTGTGAAGCAACTTCTATTTTGGGCCTTAACCTTAACTGTGCTCCCTTGGGCAGGCATTTTGCTCCAGAACACCTTCCTCCACCCACACAAGTGCTTGGGACTGGCACTTACACGTCCATGCTTACAGATGTAATCAAACAATTCCCCCCCGGACACGTATTCCATGACCATGAAGAAGTCTGTTGGTGTGCTGATGACCTGGTACCTTCAAAAAGACAAGCAGATTTTCAAAAAAATACATAATTAGGAATAAGGAAAGGCTTTTAAACAGATTATTAATTCCACATCAACATTTCAAAGAAGGATTTCTTCAGATCTTATATTTTTAACTGCTTTCCACTCCTGAAAAGCTGTCTCTTGTTTACAATATAATTTTTACTTGTCTGTGGAAGGACCTCTTTTCCAGACCTATGATCTTCCTTCAGCCCTTTAAATAATCCTCTGAAATATCTGCCAGGCAATCTTACCACATTTAGGATTGCACTGACTTTCAAATTTCCATTTTGGGTAAGATCTGCAACAACAGCTTTAGAAATTAAGTCCTGGTTAGCTGGGGGCAAGGAGAGGATCCATCTGGTTTTCCTCATATCAAAATAAAAAAAAGATAAAGAGCTCTAGGCACTAGAGAGAACTTCCTCTGGACAGGTACAGAAACAAAAAGGAGACTCCCCTCTAAAGTTATTTTTCAAATACCAAATCTCTCTAGAATGGGGGAAAAACCCAGAGCATCACTTTCAACTTGCTGATTTTGTTCTATTTTCCTTCAAAATGTTCCCCGAGTGCAGCAAAGACATTTGAGTGTCCCAGCTGGAACAAACTGCCAGTGATCAGCTGAGGTCAATGCAGCCCCAGGAATTCACAGCAGCACCAGCTGGGACCTCCCTCTCTTTTATTTCAAATTCATTGTTTTGTTGCTGTTGTTTTGGGGTTTTTTTCAGATGAATTTCATTATTTTTTACAGGACTGTAATTTGAAACAAAGAGATTTCAGCAATTGTCAGTGGCTGGCAAGGGAATGTGGGATACTCCCATAAAGATCAATACCATCAGCTTCATTTTTCTGAAGAGCTTTGGACCCAGACATCTAAGCTACTGTTAATTGCCCCAATATTTATTTTATATACATTTAAAAACTTATTGAAAGAGGTTTGTGTGCCCCAGTCTCCTCACATCTTTATCACCGTATTTCATGAATGCAACACGTATCACAGGACACAGATATTGTCAAACTGGATTTAATTTTTATTGCTTTGACAAATGTGTGAACAGGATTTGACTTGCAGGATGCTGGGCACACAGCTGAGGAGTCTTGCTGGTGCTTTTTTCATGAAATAATACCAATCTGTTCTCCAATAAATCCATGGAACTGTGAAGTTACTCTAAAGTCAACAGTTGCTGCATGGTTAGTTATTTAACTGTAGGGAGAATTTGTTTTCCCTTGCCTCTAAGTCCCAGGTATTTGCTATATCTCATGCCAGTTTTAAGGCTGACCTAAATGTCAACTTACCCTTGCAGTTACCATTCAACAGCTTTCTTTTATAGGAATGCCAAAGATATTATCGAGTGCCTCATTAATGTGGGCTGGCTGCACAAGCTGGGGATTGAGCAGGAATCCCAGAGGCTGCAGTGCAGGTGCTGATTTACGACCCCAACTCAGGTTCATCAAAGTGGAGACTGTCAAAACTTATGTCTGAATAATAAATTTTGGAACAAAAAAAAAATATGTTCTTTTAAGCTCTGGCTAATCAGTCCATTAAAACATAAATCCTATTGACTGGAGGCCAAGGTTTCACTCTCAGAGCCTGACCATGCTGCAATTCATGGAATCACAGAATGGTTTGGGTTGGAAGGGACATTAAAGACCATTAAAGACCATGGGCAGGGACACCTTCCACTATCCCAGGTTGTTTAAAGTCCCATCCAAACCTTGCCTTGAACACTTCCAAGGACGGGGAAGCACAGCTTCTCTGGAAAAGCTGTGCCAGCGGATCATCTAACACACAAAACCTTGACCAAACACAATTTTTAGTGCTCTAATCCATCTCCTGAAACCCAGCTAGCTGCGTGTGAGGGGTCTCTGTGCAGAGAGGAGCAGCTGCACACGTGGCAGGGAGGGTACTCACAGCTTGATAATGTGAGGGTGCCGGAAGAGCTTCAGGTTCTGAATTTCTCGTTTGATCTTCCCCACCACATCCAGGCTGCGGATTTTCTGCCTGTTCAGTATTTTCACTGCCACTTTGTGCCCTGTCAGCTGGTGCTCACCAACTATTAGACAGAGAGAGAGAGCATTGCAAAGTCACTAAACAGTGCAGCAGGGTTCACACAAGCAGTTTAGGGCACTATAAGCAAAAAGCCACTTCTGAAGGGGAAAAAAGCAGAAGATGAGGGTGTGAAATATTTTGAAGTTTTTGTCTCCTCACTGTTTTCCCAGTGGAGTCATAGAAGGCAGAAGAGAGGGGACTTATCTGCCAAAAACACTCCACTAAACAGAAGAGTGAGTTGCTGGAGGAGGTCATACCCCAAGCTAATTTGCAAGGATTTATAGCATGTAAAAGCTAGATTAATCAGAAACAGATATATTTAAATGGCAGAGGAGAATCTCTGCCATAACACATTGGTAGACAAAATCCCTCACAAACCCAGGCTCAAAACTGGACCATCACACTTCTTTTTTTAAAAAATGGTATGGGGATTTTCCTTGCCCAAAATAGGACTGCGGGATTTGCATTACTAAAATGAATTTCTATTTATACTTCCCCCAGCGTGCTTCTTGCTTTGATGACAAGCTGCAGGAACACTGCTGGACTGCAGGAGCAAACTCTGCTTTCAGGAAAGATGCAAACTTCAATATGGGTTTTTTTTTAAAAATGCACTTGGTGCATTGAGATGCTGATGTTTATCTCAGGGAAAAATCATACCCATAAACTGGGAGGAGCAGCCCCACTGTCACTGGGGAAATTGCAATTAATGATGTGAAACTAATTCAGCGTGGGATCCATTTGTTATCAATAAACAAACCACACAAAAAAATACAAAGCCCCCAGGAAGCAAGATTTATATAGAAATTGAGAGCAGAAAAGGCTTAAAAATGTGGTGTTTATTCCCAAAAAGGGTTCTCAGAACCAAGCTGCCCCTTCTCAGTATTTTCCAACATGATATTCAACAGAGTGACACACGGATGGTTTCCTAAAGCCTGCACAGAAAAACCTGCTTACAGTAAATATTTGTGCTCTCTAATTACCAACATCACCCTTCCAGTGCAAGGAGTTAATTATTGCCAGCAAACCTTGTTATTACATTATTAGAGCCTGTAATTTTGGCAGCCCTAATGAGCTGATCAGAAGCACCCGGGGTAAGCAGGAGGTGTGAGAAGGGCAGGGCAGCACCACTCAGGGCACACCAGGTCACTATTATTAGCCACCAGATAAGACCTGCCAGAGATTCTTTCCTCAATAAAGAGCATCCTAAAAATAAAACACTTCACTGCCCTTGAAAATTAAAGCACCACTTTGCATGTCCATTTTATTCCTCGTAATACTTAAAACTGCTAGATGATGGAATGAAAATAAACTCAGCTTTGCAGCAGAGATGCAATTTAGGGATTAGCTGAGGGCTGGAGGAGACAGATAATTCCTCTGGTGCAGTGCAAGGAGAGTGCTGTAAATAGTCCAGGGAGGCATTTTCCCTGGTGAATCCTCGGGAAGAGAAGAGCAGGGCACTGCTGCAGGGAGGTAAAGCCAAGTTTTTTCACTGAACTAGGAGGAAAACCCTGATTTCTACCACCCTTTGTTTCAGGACAACGCTTTCTGGCCTTGCCTCAGCATATGCTTTGAAATTTTTTTATTATACACTAGGGGAAAAAAAAAAAAAGCCATGCCCAGAATGAATAATTATTGTTTTTAATACTATTGCCAAATAGTTCATCCCCTTTCCCATCCGTGACAAACAATGTGTAACTCTGCGAAGGTTTGCTAGCACAAACACATTAATAATTAAAAATAAACAGCCAATGTTGTAATCCATCTTTTGCTTACAGTAAGCATTAGATACAGAGATATTATTGTTTCTGTCCCCAGTGACTTGGTAAGCCTCCTTGAACTCGGTGAGAGAGAGAGACAAAGAGGGAACACAATTTCCTACGTGGTGGGAGACTTTTAAGCCTTTGAGGGCTCTCTGAACTGCAGGAATTTAGACATGGGCAGTATGGACAGCCCTCCCTCTGCCCACAGAGGCACTGTCTCTGAAGGCCAGGATCATCCCAGAAGTGAGGGGCAGGTCCCAGGTCTCCCACAGGCATGGAAGAGGATCCTCACCACAAGGGTGGGCAGTGGTGGCCTTGGCTGGGGGTGAGGACACCTCCTTCCCTCTCACTGCCTCCCCAGATTCAAAAAGTGGAGACTCTTAACATTTACTTATTTTTATAAAAGGGAAAAAAAAAAAAAAAGAGGAGGAATAGTGATTATAGCACCATGAGCACAGATAATAAATAAAACCCCTTGACAGCATGGCTTTCTACATCACTTTCTTTATCCTACCAGCTCAGGCAGCACAAGCAGTTAACATTTTTGCAAATGCTTCAGGGCAATGTAGAAGCTCGTGGAGGGGTGAGGAAACTCCTTCCCTATCAGCTCTGCTGGCCCTTATCTCAGCCCAAAGTTAAAAATGAAATCCATCCAAAGCATATATTTAGCAATGCTGTATTAATGCTGCCCCAGTGCCTCTTGCTTGTGTGTTGTCCCAGCCTCTCCCTGCCCTTCCTCTGCTCAGTCTCCTTTAGTTTATCTTCCCTCTGACACCAAGTTTGTCTTTCAGCAGCAATGCCACAGTGCCTGGGAAAAATGGGATCTGATCCCGACTGGAGCCCATGGAGGTGACACAAACACAACCCAAGCACTGCCAGCCCTTGAGGGACCACAAATCTGTCACTTTTGTGGCAAACAAGCCAGGGAAAGGAGCCACCGAGGCCCCCAGGGACGCTGTGGGTGGCATCACACGGAGAAAATATCTGGGTTACTACTGTGAACCTCACTGTGGTCACAGCAGAGCTTTTGGGGACCCACAGGGTGGGACGTGCCCACAGCAAACACAATTTGTCTCATCTGTTCTTGCTAACCCCCTAGGAAGGAGATGCCATCTTCTTCCTCCAAGGCTTTGCTCAACTTCCAAATCCAAGACCTCTACAGTTCTATTTCTGCAAATTAGAATTTTTTTTTTTCTGCAAATAATTCTAATTTCTGCAAATCATCTTTGGCCTGGACGACAGGGGAAAATAACTATATTTGGTAAAAATGCTGTGTGGTAACTCCAAGTCTTGACATGACACCTCCTGTCCATCCACCACATCAGCTCCCTCTCTTCTAACAGATGCTGGGTCCTCATCCCCACTTCCAGATGGAATTTCAGTGTTAGCACCAAAATCCTGCCCTCAGCTGCCAGCCTCTTTGCTCCCCTCTGTGCCTTGTGTGGACTTTCTGTAAATGAGATGCAGAAATGGAAATGGCTTCAAACAAAACAGCATCTTGCAGTTTTTAGGAGGATCAGCTCCCTGATGACCCAGTCAGGGACTTTTTCTGTCGTGTCTCTGGCTCCTGATGGCTCAAAATGACTCCTCAGCTCCAGCCATGAGTTCAGGCTCTGGTTTGTACCCCACGTCACTCCCATCCAATTGCCAATCCTCCTTTTCATTTCCATTTCTTATGTCCCTAATAACAATAGTCCTGAACAACTGTAAATTATGATTTCTTAACTCTGACAAGTAAGGCAGCAAAAAGGGCCAAAACCAAAACCTGGTGCAAGGTTTTAAGAAATTAAGAATTTTAAGAAAATACATCAGCAACAAGAAACGTCACTGATGGCACCTGACTTCTCCCTGAAAAAGCAATTATTGTACCCAATACACAATGTTTGAATCAATCAACAAAACCCTCTACTTTTCTCATGTGAATACAAGTTTTTCTACAGCTCATTCGATTAAAATGCTGTAATTCCATATAAATGGGAGATTCCATTTCTTCATTTCAGTTCCCAGTCTCAAGCACAAACTTTCACCTGTCAGTTGTAGGCAAAATATTAAGGGAAAAATAATATAAAGTGTTCTACTCACCTATAAAGGATTTTGAGCTAGGAAATCTTTTATGTTATTTGGAATATTTCTTTGGAAAATGTCCATTTTTACCAAACTCGGGTCATATGTGGGGTAGGGGGTATTTGTGCTAGTTAAGGGGAAAAAAGGCTATTGTTGGCAGGTTTAAATTGATCTGCAAGGAAAAAACCTGCCTTTGGAGCAGTTCTGAGGTCTGCTAGTACACACGAGTGATTTAAATGGTCCTTACTGTTAGAAGTATTTATTCTGATAATTCTTTAGACAGTAAATTTGTGGTTTGGGATTAAACACAGCAATATATTTTTAGGGGCGTGATTAATGGCCACAGGTGGACTTAGCTGCAGTGGTTGTGGTGGTTTCTTTCATCTGCTGTCAATTTGGGTTTATTTTAAAACTCCAGGAACCGAGGGCAGGCACAGCACCCCTTTGCCCAGCCACATCCCAGTGGGTGGGGGGACACTGAGTGGGACAGCTGCTCCCCCAGCTCGAGCTAAACCAAATTCCAACTGGGAAGCACAGCTTAGAAACTGAATTTTGTTGGTTTTCTGGTTTTCTTAGTATCTTGTTTAAAAAAAATGAAATTTGCACGTAATGGCAGAATCCACAGGGAAAAAAGAAACACAAATATTTGCAAACCTCACAGCCAGGTAAAGCAAAGCCTTCGGGATGTAAGCTGGCTGCTCTGGCACGACTGGCCAAAGAATCCCTGCATGGAGCCCCAGCCTGACACAATCCTGGAATGGTCTGGGATGGAAGAGACCTTAAAGCTCATCTTATCCCTCCCTCTTCCATGGGCATGGACACCTCTGACTATCCCAGGCTGCTCCAAGCCCCGTCCAACCTGGCTTTGAACACTTCCAGGGATGAACATCTTCCCTGAGCACCCTGCGCCAGAGCCTCCCCACCCGCACAGGGAAGAATTTCACCTAACCCTGCTCTCTGTCAGCACGAAGCCTTTCCCCTCGCCCCACCACGAGTCCCTCTCCAGCTCTCCTGCAGCCCCTTTAGCCACTGGAAGGTTCTCAGGTGGCTCTGGAGCTTTCCCTTCCCCAGGTGGAAGGAGCCCAGGGCTCATCCCCGCGGAAGCCGCTCGGGGCAGCGGGGCGATGCTCGGAGCAGCAGCACGAACCTCCCGGCTCCAGAGCACGCCGGAGCACCGGCGGCCCCTCGGGAAGGGCGGCAGCGAGCAGCGCGCTCCCGGCACGGAGGGGCAGGATGCCGGTGCGCCTCCAGCCTCCCCACCGCCTCCCTCCGAGCGCGGCAGCAAAGTTTTGGTGGGTGCTGCTCGCAGCACGGGCTCCGGGGGCTGCGACAGCCCGGACCACCGAGGGGCGAGCGCCGCATCTCCCACCGCCCGCCCGCCGCATCCCCGCTGAGGGCAGCGCCCGCCTCCCCGCCGTGTGCCCCGGGCACGGCTCTGCCAGGATGCCGCCCAGGGAGCGGAGCCGAGGGAAGGGAGCGGAGCCGAGGGAAGGAAGGGAGGCGATGCCGGCGCGGAGGCCGCGGGAGCGGGAGGAGGGAGGCGGCGGCGAGGGGCGCGCCCGGCCCGGCCCGGCCCCGCCCGCGGCCGCGGTACTCAGCCCTTGACTTTGCCGAAGGTGCCGACCCCCAGCGTGTCCCCCAGCACGTAGTGGCCGATCTTCACCCGCCCATCGTGCTTCTGCTTCTCGGCCATGTTCGCCCCCCGCCGCCGGACCACAATGCACAGGGCCGGCCCGGCGGGGCGGGGAGCGGAGCGGAGCGCGGCCCGAGGGGCGGGGAGCGCCCGGCGCCGCCAGGTGCGACCGGCGGGGAGGGGACAGCGCCCGCCGCGGGGGCACCTGCCGGGACACACCCACCGGGGCGGCACCTGCCGCGGTGACGCCCGCCGCGGGTCACACTGCTCGGGGCGGCGTTCTCTGTTGGCACCTGCATGGTGCCAACATGGCATCCTTTTAGAGAGGCACCTGCCGGGGGTGACACTCTCCCCTGGTGACACTGCACACGGGGTGCGTTCTCTGTTGGCACGCACCTGCCGGGGGTGACATGGCATCCTTTTAGAGAGGCACCTGCCGAGGGTGACATCTTTTTAGAGAGGCACCTGCCGGGGGTGACACTCTCCCCGGGTGACACTGCACCCGGGGCGCGTTCTCTGTTGGCACGCACCTGCCGGGGGTGACATGGCATCCTTTTAGAGAGGTACCTGCCGGGGGTGACAGCCTCCCCGGGTGACACTGTTCAGAGGGTACATTCTCTATTTGCTGCACACCTGCCGGGGGTGACATGGCATCCTTTTAGAGAGGCACCTGCGGGGAGTGACACTCCTCCGGTGACATTGTTCATAGGGTACCTGAACAGTGCACTTGCCGGGGGTGACATCCTTTTAGAGAGGCACCTGCCGGGGGTGACACCCTCCCCGGGTGACACTGTACCCGGGGTGCATTCTCTATTGCTATCCACCTGCCGGGGGTGACAGCCTTTTACAGAGGCACCTGCCAGGGCGTGACACTCCTCCGGTGGCACTGTTCAGGGGGTACACTGTGACACACAACTGCCTGGGAGTGACACCTTCCCCCGATGACACTGTTCAGAGGGTACATTCTCTATTGCCACCCACCTGCTGGGGATGACATCCTTTTAGAGAGGCACCTGCCTGGGGTGACACCCTCCCCGGGTGACACTGTACCCGGGGTGCATTCTCTATTGCCATCCACCTGCCGGGAGTGGCATCCTTGTAGAGAGACTCTTGCCTGGGGGTATCACTGTTCAGAGGGTACATTCTCTATTGCCACACACCTGCCTGGGGTGACAGCCCTTCAGAGCAGCATCTGCCACAAGGGACATCGTCCTCTGGTGTCGCTGTCCTCCGTGTGCACCTTCAATTGCCATGCACCCCAGGGGTGACAGCCTCCTTTGGTGGCACTGTGCTCGGGGTACACCCTCCCTGAGTGCAGTGACACCCTCCTCGGGGTGGTGCCACCCTTGGGCTCCTCCCTCCTTGGGGGTACACCTGCCTGATGTGGGGACGTGGCCCTCAGAGCACACTCTCCCTGTGGTGTGCCTGGCTTGGTGTGGCATGCATCGGAGAGGTGCTGGTGGCACTTTCCTTGGAGTGACAGCCACCCGAGGGTCACAGTGTCCTTGAGGTGCACCCTTCTCTGCTGTGAGGGATGCCACACCTGCCCAGGGATGTCCCCATCAGAGGGTGGCACTGCCCTTGGGGTATGTCCTGCTTGTGATGCTGCTCCCTTGGGGGGATCCCTCCTTTTGGTGACACTGTTCACCAGCCAGGGATGCTGCCTTTGGCCCCAGGAGCACATCCCCACAGGAGGGATGCTGGCTGTGAGGGGCACGGCTCCAAATGCACCCTCTGAGGCTCAGCTGTGCCTTGGGCTGGGAGACAAGGTGCACTCAAGGGACACTTTCATCCAGAATTCCAAAAGATTTAGTGGTGAAAGCAGGATGTTCTCCCTCATCTCCTGTGTAGAACATAAACTCTGTCTGGACCACATTAATTGTTTACATTAAGAAAAAAAAAAAAAAAAGAATGTATGCTCATCCCAAAAAAGCAGCATGATTGAACATCAAAATCTCCTAAAAAGAAAAAGTCACCTAGCGTATCTGGAAAGTGGTCCTGCCACATTTTAATAGTGTTAATTTGTAGCTCTTTGTTTCTCATTCAGCTGCACGAAGTAGCAGAAGGCAGTCACAAATGCAATCTGTGCTCCAAGGTAATAAAGAGCTGTTTGGGAAGCTGGAACAGTGTGTGTAAACACAGGGTCCCCGATAAAATAATGACCAGCCTTTGCAACTGCGCTATCATAAATAATAAAACAGCAGCTTAATTCAAGAAATCCAATAACATAAATAACTAAAATAACAAGCTGGGGGTAGAACAGGAAGGTTGCTGTAACACAAAACCATTTGTAGGATAATGAAACCATCTCTGTTCAACCAGAACAACTGATGTACGTGAAGGCATAAGAGAAACAGCATTTACAAACAGTAAACTCTGGATAAGATGGCAAAGCTACAATCTCCTGGAATGCCTGAGAAAGCTCTGCCTTCTTCAGGCAGCTGCAAAGTTGTCAGCCCATGCAAACCTCTACCCTGCAAGCTCTGAGCAGCTCTGCTCTGTCTTTGGGGTTTGTTTGATCTCCCCTTCCAGTCCTGGCAAGCCCTGGCTCTGTCTGAATGAAACACCACACAAAGAGGTGTGAGCTCGAGTGGTGTTTGTTTAATGGTTAAACTAATATGTTTAACAAGAGCTGCTGTAAGGAGAATCACTGTTCTGCTGTCCTGCTTGTTTCCTGAAAGCTGGAAAAGAGATTTTTCACTAAAACTCAGAGCAAGCTGATGCCATGATTGTTTCCACTGCCTCTTGACACATTGAAGCTGTCTATTAGAAACATCAAATTAATATTAATCAGGTTTTATATTTTGGGGGCTTTGTAGGAGACTCACAGAAAGGCCTTTGCTTGGCAGCAAGGATGTCCCCAGGTGGGTCAGTGCCTTCCACCCTCTCCACTGTTGGTGAGAGCTGAGAGCAGAGCCTGGGATGATCCTGGAAAGCAGTGCCAGGACTCAGGCTTGAGAAGGTTTACTGAATTTCCCTCTGGCTTTTGAGAATCTACATATATGTGTGTGTGTGTATCATGGGTTCCTGGTTTGCAGACACGGGGGAAGGGAGCTGTGCTGGCAGGCAGGAGCTGAAGGGTCTCAGGAAAAGGCTGGGTGGGGCATGTTGCTAGGAGATGGAGACTCCAGTGTCTGGCAAAGTGGCGTTTTTATTTTTGGTGCAGATCACACAAAATGGGATTTGACTGTGAAGCAGGGTAGAAATCTCTTCTCCCTGCTTACATTCATCTCTGAAGGATCTGTTTTGTTCAGAGTAGTAGCGTTGCAGCTCATTTAAAACACAAATCAAATGTAGACTGCATGGTGTTCAGTCCAGCTGGAGGCTGGGTGTTTGCAATCTCTGAGAATCTTTTCTTTTTCTATTTTCTTTTTCCCTGTTCATTGAGAAATCCCTTGTCTGAGCAGCAGGATATATGTCTCTCTTTAGGGGAGGGCATCCTCACATGCCTCTGGTTCCTTTGTGGCCGGTTGTCTCTTGTTTTTTCAGACACCGTGAGTTAGCAGTTGGGTTTTCTGGGCTTATTAAATACATCCTGCCAGAGCTTGTTCTCTCTTGCTCTGCTGCCTATGCCTCTTGTTGCACCAGGAGCCCCCCCATCCCAGCTGGCTGCACGTCCACCCTCCTCTCAGGCAGGGACTGTGTGATGGCACAGGGAAAGCTGCCATGGAATACCTGGCCCTTCCCTCTCCCTGGTGTGCTGCCAGGGCTGGATTTACAGGAGAAATTAGGTCTGAGTGCTAAAACATGGAAATTTTTGCACCCTTCTGTGGGATGCAGGAGTCCTGGGCAGGAATACGGGTCCCTTGCAGCTGCTACAGAGTCTTTGGCTAAGCCCCACATTGTGCTGGTGCTCCTCTCAGGCACCAAACTGCTTTCACTGGATATTCAAAGGGAATTTTCTTGGAACTGCAGGGCTAACCAGCAGGATGCTGAAGGGCTGGGAAGGCACCAAGGAAAATCTGGGTGCTGCCTGTTGCAACACTTGGCTTCAGTCACTATCGTGAACCTGCAGAAGGGTTTGTAGCTGAACATCTCCAGCTGTGTCCAGCCTCCCCCCACAGCACCCTTCCCCTTGTCACCACATTTGGGTGCTGTATTTTTCCAGTTCAATGTGGCCAAAAAAATGCCAGGGATGCTGTGCATCTGTTAACACAAAAGCTCAACTTCTGGGGCATGCTATCCAACCCTTGTAAGTGCCCTAAATCTGTGGATTTTCGGTAGGATTTGCATTCCCAGTCTGTTTTGGGAGGAGATAGTTAATAAGATAATGCAGCAGTGGGTAAACTGTGACACGTGAAATGGGATTTTTTGAATGCTGGAGAAACTGCATGCATCAGAGGCAGCTTATGCACATCAGATTTGTAACTAAGCAATTCCCACTTATATTATGTAAGTGATGCCATTTATCAAACCCCATGTAGCAGGCAAGAGCAGATGTTGAACCATTTGCGCTACAGTGTTGGAAATTAACTTTTCTGGGGGTTATTAAAATTTTTGGTTATTCAAATACAATCTTGTGAGCGTAATATAATGGAACAACAAACAGCATTATTCAAAAAAATGTAATTTTGTGGGTCCAGAACCTATTATGGCCTCTTGTTGGAGTTGGGTGAAAATCTGTGTGGCAATATGAGATGCTCTGGTGGGGATGTGAGCTGAAAACTCTGTATGAGAGTGGGGAAGGAGGGTGGCATTTCTTGCACTGAAAATAGAACATTTTAAGCCTGCACATGATAAACACCCAGTTTGTGAGGAGGCTGCTGAGGAGACACTGCCTGCCTGTACAGGCACTGGGTGCACAACACTCTAACCAGCAGCAAGGGAAGGACATTATTTCTGAGAGGATTACTCCTACATGAGAATGAGACTTCTGGATAAGATTTTATTAAGGGCACAAATGAGTAATTGGATTCCTCAACCCATTAGAATGTAACAGTAATGAATTCCTGCTATCTTTTTATATGCCCTGTGATTAGTGTGATGGCTTGGTTGGGGGGTTATTTTTAAAGCAGATAGTTGTGGTTGGGCTCTATGATCCTAGAGGCCTTTTCCAACTTTAAAAATTCTGTGATTCTCCATGCATTAATCCCTT